TTGTTTTTTTTGTCTCCCTAAATAAAACAACACGTGAACTTCAAATTTTTCAGCACAACCGAACATTCTAATGTCAATGTGGAAAAAAACTTTGAAAGTTATACTAAAGGAGCACAAATTAATTTGTATCTAAGTGAGTAGAATTTTTAAAATAAATTCGAAAAATCATTATTTGTTTAGAAGTATTAATTAATGTTAAATGTTTTTAGTCAATTTAAGAAATATGAAAAAAATCAGGAATTGTGGATTTGAAAAAAAGTGTATGAATAAGGAAAAAGTGTATGAATAAGGAAAAAGTTTATGAATTTGAGGAATAATCACACATTTTAAACAAAATCAGGAATTTTCAGTTACAAACAAAAACCAAGTAAAAACTGGCTGAGAACACATGTAGGAAAAGAAAAAAAACGGGCAAGAATCTTCTGTAAGGTTCCAAAAACCGGTTGGGAGGCCGGCCGAACACTTGCTAGGAGCGGGTCTGCGCCACGTACGCCATTTGCCGCCTTCATCGTGAAATAGGTTCTCCACTGGTTACCATCATCTACTTTGCACATAAGCTCCTCCTTCCCGGGATGGGGGGAGGCGGCAGTGATGCTCGGCCGGTGCCGGTCCAACGTCCTGGTGCGGAGGCCGGCGGCGCTCGCCGTGGTGGTGCCGCCTCTTGGCGGCGGGGCAGTCCGGTGGTGCTGGTCGACCGGTGGCGTGTCCCAGGCCCAGATCTGGGCTGGTAGGGTCCCTTCTGGGTCCTTGCGGGTCGGCTTCTGCACGACCGCGACGCCTTCTGTATGGGAAGGCAGGGGAGCGACTTGGACTGGGACAGCGACGCCGACGGCGTGCCAGCTGCTGAGCGGAGGTGGGAGCTGTCCGGGCCTTTGAGGACCCGGCCGGGCCTGTGGGGCCACGGGCCCGGTAGGCTCCTACTATGGCGTCCGGTCGGCTACCGTCGTGGACGGTGGAGGTGGGGCCCTCCTGTATGCCGACGGTGCTGCTGCCCTAGTCCCGGCTCCTCTTCTTCGTTGTGCAGACCATCTTCGCGGTGTCGTGGTGAGACATCATGGGAAGCTTCGTGTCCGTGTTGGCGTAGGGTGGTGGTCGGTTTGGTGGCGAGCTCCGAAGTGCCTGAGGTAGAGGCTGGGATCGGGAGAAATCCCTGTTGGCTTGGCCGACACCGACGCGGTGGCGCCTGAGGGTGCCGCCGGACCTTCCTGGAGGGCGTCGGGGCTACCCTTCCTCTCTCCTCGCCGTGTACAGGGGGAAACCCTTGGCAGCAGCGTCGTCATCGTCGCGTTCCTTCTTGGAGGTGTTGATTGGTACCGGCGCTTCGGAGTCTTGGAGCTTGGTGGGCGATCTCCGGTGGACGCAGTGGTCACGAAGCTTCGTTGTTTTTGTCGATCCGCTGTTCGGCATTTGTTTCTTTTTTTTCTCTTTCATTTTCTTTTGGGTGTGATTGTTTTGCTTCCGCCCCAGCTGCTATCGTTGATTGTATCGGATGGTTGCTTTATAATACAAAACGGGTGAAAACCCTTTTTCTTAAACAAACACTCCGTTCTTATTTATTATCTTTTCTTTTTTGGTTTTCTCTATATTTTATTGTTTAGTTTTCTCTGTTCTTTTAATTTTAAAAATTGTTTTTCACGGTTTTAATAAAATAATAAAAAAGATGGAAATTAAAAAGGAATAACCAAGGAAAAACATCGAAAACCGGACAAAACAACTTCCAAATAAATAGTTGCAGAAACCGCCGCTACCTGAAAACCCCACAAAAACCTCGCTACCTGAACCTTTGAAAGTAATACTAAAGGAGCATGAATTAATTTGGATCGGAGGGAGTATATTTTTATAAATAAATATGAAACAGGTTCATTATTTATTTAGAAGTATTAATTAATTTTAAATATTTTTAGTCAATTTGTAAAATATTCTGGATATTACAGATTGTTATTTTTTTAAAATAATATTTGAGAATATGAAAAAAGTTACGAATAAGAATAAAGTTCATGAATTTGAGGAAAAGTCACACATTTTAAACAAAATCGAGAACAGTTACAAAAAAAACCATGTAAAAACCGGCTGAGAACACACTCAGGAAAAGGAAAAAAAACAGACGAGAATCTTCTGTAAGGTTCCCAAAACTGGTCCGGAGCTTCAAGAAATGCAGTATTCTAAATGGGCCGGCCGAACACTTGCTAGGAGGGGTCTGGGCCACATACGCCATTTGCCGCCTTCAACATGAAATAGGTTCTCCACTCTTTACCATCATCTACTTTGCACATAAGCTCCTAAAACTTTAAGTTCAAAAATAATCTCCGAGGGTCCTTTTTAAGCCAAAAACAAAGCTTTGAGCCTAGCATGTGCCAAATTCCGCGCCAGAAACAGGTCCTGCCGACTGTAATAGTCTTAGTTATGCGGCGTACAGGGAAAATGACCCCTTGGGAAGAACCAGGAATTTAAATGCTAGCGTTCTATAATAAGAAACGTAAAGTAAGAGCAAAGTATGTAAAACAGACTCTGTAAATGTGCATTGGATTTGGTTTTCTCGTGGAGCATACAAATGACTTATTATTGGACGAAATTTTGCAAGTTTACAGGTCATAAGATCACTTACATCCGCAAATTAACAAAAACATGGAAATGAACAAATTTACCGAGAGGGGATTTTCAAGTTTTGAACGGTTCAACCAAAAAAAGGTGCGCCGGCGGGAATATGCAAACCGGCCCGACCCGGCCCACTTTTGACCACCTGCCCTCCTCCTCTTCGCCGTCCATGGCGGCCACGGCCCCTCTCCCCCCTTCATTCCTTCTCTTCCCTCGACGCCGGTCCCGTCGTCCTCGACGCCAGGTAACCCGCTCAAATCGATTCCCCCTCAACGTCCTTCTTCCCCTCTCCGGGCGTCTGTGTTTCGCTGCAGCTTCTGCTTGTTTCGTGTCGCGCAGAAGGGGTCCGAGATTCCGCGCCGAGGAAACAGCGGGAGATGAAGGGGCATGATACCCAAGTGTCCGCCGTCGTGGAGTCCTTGCTCGTGAGGGAGGCGGTCGGCCCTCCTCCATTATGGCAACTCGCTCCAGATTCCCGATATAGTACAGATTTTAGCTCTGAACTTATTTTCAGCCTGTCTGAAGTTCTGAACACATGGCTGTTGCACGTCTTGTTGCGCGCCCATGGGATTCTGTTATGATTATACCGTGACCGCAACTAGGCCAGGTTATTCGTGCTCGAGACCGCCGTTAGGGTGCTGTATTTCGGTCAGGGTCTGGTCTCTGAATTGTGCCTGCGCATATGGTTTTGGCATAGTTGGTATGCTAGTTCAGTACCTGTTTTGTTGACTTTATTATTGATTTTGGATCCGCGTATATATCGGCGCTTCACTTGTATGAGACATTTGGCTCGTGGAGAAGAGCTGATTATGTCAAATTGCACTTTGCTGGAAGCATGAATGGTTTCATCACCTCTTAATCATGGACGTATGTTGACAATCCTTGTATATCTGTCCATCCATTGTTCTGTCAAAATGGACTCTGTTAATTTGTACATATCCTGATTCCTATGTAATCATAATTTCTTTAAATGAATTGAAGCTACTGCTAACTGAGCCCTTAAGGCCTCTTTCGGTTCATAGGATAGAAATATCACAGAAATAGAAAATTTGTAGGAAATGAGATGAGATGTCCTTATCATTGAGTCTAGGCTAATATTTATTTTTCCTTTGAAACATGAAGGCTAGGGCTAATTCCTTTATAGGAATAGGATTCTGTTCCTACAAGCCAAAAGGCTCTACAGGGATTTTTCCTACAGGAATCAAAATTGCTCCAAACCATAATCATTTGTAAGGCAATCCTTTTTGTAACTCATAACCTTATCCTTCGATTTATTTTTGAGCTTGTGATTCGTAATTCCACCGTCCGTCAGGTAATGTGGGCTAGTTTTTCCTTTTTAACAGAGGGGTTGAAGAAGTTACCAGCTCCAAAGGCAGCTATACTGTTACATGGATGATGACCTTTACCTACTTGGTAGGCCCTCATGCTGGCTTTTTTTTCAATTACTATATTATAGAACAACCATTAATAGCTATGCTTACTGCTTGTTTACTCAGATGAGTTTCAAACATCAAGAATTCATGTTCAAGGAGGCCTAAATTTGGTATAGTTCTCATTCCTCTCTTCCTCTTAACAGCTTTCTTGAATTTATTTTTTCAGAAGGTCAGGGCTAACTGGATATGTTTGCTAGTGCCACTACTTGCTGGATTTCAGTTGATTGTTATACTGCCTATGAAGAATTTGAATTCTCCCCTTCATTGCTCCACTATAAGATTATGAATATGAAGTGCTCATTGTTTCCCATATCCCATTGCAGATAACTTGTATAATGCATTTGTCAATGTGCGAGACGATGAGCCGGAGCATCGGACGATGATGAAAGCTTGTCAAACACATGTAAATCTCCATTCTCCTCGCTTAGCCCCATAGAAACTGATATGTGTAATATAGGAAATTTATTTGAACTGGTCTATAGATTATAATGGTGCATAACAATGTATTAATACTCTGATAGTGTATAAGAAATACATATGAATTTTTACATATAAACAATACAGTTACATAGAAAATATAACTTTGTGGTAAAGTTTTCCCATGCGTTTGATTGACCCTTGCAAGCAAGCTGAAGTTACTCAACTAGATGAACATAAGTGCATACAGATGCTGCGTAAAATCGAAACTAAACATGGAAATTATCTATGGATGAACTTGTTAAATTGTGAGGGAGTCTGAATGAAATCGCCGCATAACCAGAATGCAAAAGTATTTGACATGGAATTAGAAATCAAATCAAAACACAACCGCAGATTGTGGCAAGTTGACATGGGTATCTGGCGCTTAAACTACGAACGAAATACAAAATACTACTTTAATTCAAAAGAAAAAGAATCAAAATGAAACGATGACACATTACTCCAGCCTCTTATTTGTCCAGTGACTCTGTTTGATGCCTCAAGTAGTAGTGTTCATCCTTCAAATAGCTCTCGCAACATCTCCTCCAAAACCTCGGGACTGCTGCTTCCGAGTCTAACTTGTTCCGCTAGCTCTGGATGCTCCTCCAGGTAGTCACGGTAACTTGAGATAACACTCTCTATGATAGTTTTCCTCAGTGCATCTCTGAGCTGAGGTTCTGGAACCTTCCAGAATTTCTGAGCCTGGTAAGTTTTGTGGAAAGCTGACTCGAATTTAGCTAGTGAGGAGGTGTTCTTCCAACATTGGAGCGGTCCATTAAAATTTGATTTGGGTATACAGGACAACACATGTCCCCAAGAAACATCGAGATAACTATCCATGTACTTCTTACATTCGGGTGCAAGTTTAAATATCAGGGAGCGTTGATACCACCGAGGAAGATGAAGATTCAATGACACAACGAAATAGGAATTGTTAAGCAGGAACAGGTACCTGAGGCTTGGATCCAAGCACAGTTCCGACTTTCTGAGAAGCAGATCATTTAGATAATAAACCGTCTCATCTATCAGGACGTCAAGTTTATAGTCGTAGTCGAGCCATGTAAAGGTTCCTGTCATCAAAGCCACTGTTTTCTTCATGGACAAGATGGAACTGACCACCAAATGGGTGTTGTTGTGAACCTCGCCTCCTCCATGCTTAATTTCCATAGCCCACAAATCATCGTCGCCCTCGACGAGTGCCCTCATCTCCTCCATCGTGCTGGATATGGCCTCCCATAGCATGTCGCCTTGTGTACTCAACAAGTCACATGCCGCGCTGAATATTTGTTGGTTTCTGGTAGACATGCCAAATGACCTAAGCATGTGTAATGCATTGGAGACACATGTATACATGTCTAGCACGGCCTGTAGCTTCTCAGCCTTGAGATCAGGCATGATGGCCTCGACGAAGACGAGCATCTTGGAAATGCTGGCTTTGCCGAACCGTTCTGTTGCCATACTCTCCACGCAGATCCCCACAGAGTTGGAGACCAACTCTGTCAAACAATGGACGATCACTGTGAGACCTCGGATCCACCTCTCGACCAAGTCTTGCAATGATGATGCCGACTTGTCTTGGAGCCGGAACTGCCACTGTGAGCCACGCTCCTGGCAAATTTGGAGAACCCAGCCCACGTCAAGTTCGCAGAACCAAGTCTCCAGCACGGTGTTCGGGCCGCCACCGTTTCCAAGTGCTGGCACCGGAGATGGGACGTCGTACAGCTCGATCCCGGATAACCGATTCTCCAGGGCACGGTCCAACGCTGGCGAAGATGCGACGACGAATGCTTGGAGCATGCGCTGGGTGTACCCGTCGCTAACCATTTGGTGAGCGATCTTCGTGAGCTCGTTCGCGCCAAAGTCGTCGGCGTCGGCGCCGGCCGAACGAGAGGAGGCGCTAGAGTAGTTGGAGTAGCTAGAGTGGCTGGAGTAGCTGGATCCGCTATCACCGGATTGGGACATGGAGAAAACAGTCGATCTCATCTGCGCTCCAGACACGGCAACGCTCCGGATCCAGTCCCGGTAGAGGCTGCAGGGCAGGTAGGGAGTCGCAGCCGCAGGCTCGTCGGTGCTCAACTCCGGCACGGGTGCAAGCCTGGCCGCCATGCTGATGGCCTGTTGCTACTTGCTACTGTATGGAAGGATGGACGCGCTTGCTCGAAGAGCCTGAGAAAACTGTGAGAAGTGCGGGGCAGGGACACCGCAATGAAGACTTTGTATGCCCGAACCGAGTGAAGACGAGACTGCACAAGCACAACCCGGGTCCAGCGGTCAGACCGCGAGATGGACGACGGCCACACGAGCAGCTGTCAGACGCGTCCACGCAGTTTCCAGGAGGTAATCGGATCAATAAATCACGTTGTAATCGTACCACTCTTTGTCTTGACTTCTTCGCTCAATCACTCGTGAGCTACAGATGAATCGGCACGAAGAGCGTCCTCCACCACAAGCTCGTTCTAAGATTTTCTTTTTTACGAAAAGCAACAGCGTTGCATTTCATTATGATCAGAAGAAGAGATGAAAAAGCCTGTAAAGCCATAGAAAAAGGGAGGAAAACATCATAGACAAAATGGCATAGAATGGGGTGGCCGCCATGGTTGACCACGTAGCGGAACCAAACCCACCTACCCCACCACCACCTCGTTCCCTCCCTTGCCGCTGACCACTCCTCTTCTTCCCCTTCCACATCATCTTCTCGCGTTCCACCTATCGACTCCCTCTCACCACGCCATAGAGTTCGGATTGCGTCATGATGGCGCCTCCGTTGGCACCGCCTCCACTCGATCTAGCGCTCCACGCAGTCCGACTAGTGATGCGCAATGTGGTCATCGCCAAGTTCCCGGAGCCCACCCTCTAGGGACAGGTCGGTGTATGGATTATTCAGGCCTCTTCCTACGAGGATCAGATTCGGTTCCCGGGTGAGGACGGGTGTAATGCCATGGAGTTCATCTTCTTGGCGATGGTGGAAGCCAATTTACCAAACCCG